TGTGATCCCCACGCAACTGCAGCAATGTGACAATTAAATAAGAGAACCTATTCACAAGGATGAAAACTCTTGTGATGTCGCAGCAGATGTAGTGTGCGTGCTCTCGTGTCGACTCAGTGATCTTCTCTCCTGCAGGAGATGTCACAGGAGTCTGTCAACGCAAACGTGATTTTCCTGAAGGTGGATGCGACTGATGGCAGGGTAAGCCCGTGTTTGACTTGGAAGCCTGGAGAAGCAGTAGGATTACTTCATCTGCTGCTGAACTCACTTTAGTTTCCCTTGTGTGGATTTATTTTATTTCTGTTTTCATGTCATTGCATGAAAATAAAAGTCATTAGCCAGCATAGGTTTCTAGCTTAGTTAAACATTTATTTTTCTCTTGGAAAAACTCCTAGCTGACTCATGTGACCATCTGTCAGCAACTGCTTTGGTCTGGATTAAACAACACAGACTGTAACGCAACAAGCTTTCACTCTGCACAACTGGCAACACTGAAGTCTGAAGGAGAGGCTTTGTCTGATGTAGACAGGCTCTTGGGTAACTTATAATTAATATGCATAAAAGCTGCAGAAGCCTGTGTTTTTCACAATATTTTTAATGTATTTATTTGTACATGTTTTGGCGTCTCGCCACATCTACAGCTGCCCAAGTTGGTCTGAAGCGGCTGTAGTCAGTGGCGATCAGTGTTGATGACTCAGTCAGCTCATCTGATATCTTTGCTTTGTCTTTCAGGATGTGAAGTCATTCTATAATGTCACCCGCATGCCTGCATTTCACTTTTACAAGAATAACCAGAAGGTAAGTCAAAGCTCATGTAGCTGGATGGAGATGTTTAGCATGTAGTGAATTTGAGCCTGGAAACAATGAGCCTTGTGCAATGACTATTATAATCTCAGTATTATTTTCAACTGGCACATATAAGATCCATGTTGCCCTAAGAATTCCCTCTTTATCTTGCACAGAAAACCTCTAAAGGCAGATCACACATGAATCATTTAAAATTTTCTAATGGCTTAAACGGCAAAGCAAATATCCTTTCCAACCAATGGAGGCAAGCTTGAAGCCATACCTCCATTCAGATTCAAGACTCAAGATTCAAGAGCTTTATTGTCAATACAGTAGTATACACAGTATACAGTGTACTGAAGTGCTGTTTCACCCTAAGCTCCCCATGGTGCATTTATAAATATATAAAGGATATATGGTCTCAGGATTAAAGAAACTGAGTTAAATCTCATTTAAGTCAATGTTTGGGTTGTTAGTGATAAGCCTATTGTGTCCTATTTTACAATTCATTGAGGATAAATGGAAAATTATGTAATTTTTTAAATGCCATTTTTAACTCAATGTCCTCCTCTTTCAGGTGTATGAGTTCACCGGTGCTGATGAAGCTCAACTACATCAAAAAGTGAGAGAGCTCAGATGAGATGTCCCACCAAAAACAAAATCTGCCTCACATTATCTTCGGTATTACTGTGTTACTCATGACAATGAAGTCTATCCCACACAGTCAATAATATATCCACATATCTTGTAACAGGTTAATGTCCCCGTCTTAACAACAGGCTGCAATATGAAACCGCTCAATACTTTTAATTCTGTTTTTAATGACAGTTTGGCTGTGATCCTGAATTACTTTGTATGGTTTGTGTTCAAAAAGTTTAATAAATGAATTATGAATGGATTGGTATTTTGTACTTTGATAAAAATGTCAGAATAGTACAAGTATGTAGCAGCATATGTTGGAGCTGGCAGTTAACAG